ACCTCAGTTAGTTTTCTCCTTTGATATTACTGTAATTAACCGTGAGACTTGGAACCTCAGCTCTTACACTTCTATTGTCCAGAAAGCACCACAAAACAGCGGCCTTTTTTGAGTTGATAACATCTCCCATTTTTTAACATATGTCAGTCACTTTGTCAACAGTTGCCTGTAGCTCTTGGGCTGTCCGTTGTCTATCATTCCCTTGTCTATATGCAAGAACATCATCAACAAATGTCAATATTCTTCCAACACCTGGTGCTTCAAGTTCTGCAAACTTGCTTGTATACGTATTAAAGAGCACCAGTTAAATTGCAGAATTGTATGCAATGAATCCATGTCATTGGAGATTGGGAAAGAAATTCTCGTTTGCTATATAAATCCAGTTTTAACATACGGCTGTGAAGCCTGAACAATTAATAAACAAGCCGAACTATATCTTGAGGCCTTGGAGATGTAGTTTCATTGAAGAACCCTTAAAATTTTTGGACAGCTAAGAAGAGCAACCCAGATTTTTTGAAAGATGCGAAAACAAACTTATCACAAACATCACGAAGAGAGAGTCATTATATTTTGGTCATGTTACGAGAAGAGAAAAAATATAATATGTTGTGACCACTGGAAAGATAGACAGAGAAAGACAACGTGAAAAGATTCTTGACAGTCTTTTGTCATGGCAGGGAGGGGTGTGTCAGCACTTTTTTTTTTAACGTATCCAGAAACCATGCAAATGGTCAGATTTCCGAACGAATACACAAATAAGGCAAGAATTCAGGCAAGAGTATGTGTCTAATTTTATACGAAAACGCCGCTGGAACTATGTCGGCCACGCCCTTAGAATGGATAAATCAAGACTTCCTTACCAAGCCCTCATTTGGACACCACAGGGGAAAAGATCTCGTGGAAGACCAAGGGAAACCCTACGTAGAACTATCATCAGGGAAGGCTCGCTCATGGGCCACTCAATCATCCAAGACCTACAACAGATTGCAACGGACCGCCATGCATGGAGAGTCATGGCCTCTGCCCCATGTGCCGCACTCGACACAAGAGGAAAGACTAACTAGCTAAGAAACCATGAGTTGTAAACCCTTTGGCTCGGTACTATGGATATCGCAACCCTTCGGCCTTGATTCCATTATAGGTACCGTTAATCTGGGAGAAATGTGGTTCGTCACCCGGCCGCCGCGAAAGTCAGGTTTAACCAACTTCGCTAGAGATCGCCTACGCCAGTTAGCAAGGCACTTGATGATGATTATGAACCTACAGTTACTTCCCTTCAAGAATCCCAAACGTTAACTTCCGTTTTATTATGTTGCCAACTCAATAGATGTGATTGAGGACTGTAATAATTGTAAACACAAGAGGAGAAAAATAACAGGTATTCTACAAACTGAATTAATCGGTAAAACAGAGACAGAATCAGCTCACAAATATGGTGTTATACTTAAATGAGAAAAATTCAAGCATTTTATTCTACTTTCTTTGCACTGTAAAAAAATAAAAATAAAACAATTCATTTATTAAAAAAAAAAAAATCACTGCGTCCGAATGTCGGACGCAATTTTTTGTTATATTAGATTATTAAAGCCTCACCCTGGCTGTTGCCTGGGGCCCTAATATAACCCAACCAATAAGTTGAACGATGTTTCTGGGACCTGTTCCCAGGTGATGTGATGTCCAGCAGGGGTTGAACGTCAGTCTTTATTATTATTTTATTAATTCATAACAGAAAAATAGAATGAGGTAATTAAATTTAAAGAGTTAATGAGTGTTGTAATCTACAAAGTCAACGCTAGTGCTAACACTTTACAAAATGTTTTCATAAGACGTTTTAAAATTCACTTTTCATCATGATATTAACTTGTTATCCTTAGACCCCCTGCTTACCTCTGGCAGCTCTGCTACCCAGTCACAGGTTACATAGGTGCTGGAACCTAGGGGATTATGTCCCTTGAGCCCCTTTTCCCAATAATTACTCTAAGCTCTTTGTTGGAGGTGGTTTATTTTAAACACAAATCAGTGACTTAAAATGACTTCACATAGAATAAACGGCTCTACTGGCAAATCCGGACAAAGAATAAAAAGCCTTGGACGACTTAGTCAGAGTTCTCTCCCTTGGCCGCACTCCCAACAGTGATCGGAAAAGCCAACGAAACAAAGAAGACAGTCACGTCGACATCAGGGATGCCAATGCTTGGTTGTTTCCCCCAGATCTGGTTTTTTTTTCGACGCTGCAGGACAAATCTGGGTGTTTTTTTTTGGGGTGTGTTTTGTGTGTTGGTTTTTGCCGATTTGTATGCTTTAATGATCGATAAATTTGCGTGGGTAGGGGTTAGGGTTAGGGAGTAGGATTATGATTAGGGTTAGCGGTAGGGTTAGGTTTAGCGTTAGATTGGACAATTTTGACGCCGGATTTCCCTATAATCGCGCACAGTCCCATACACACACACAAACAATCGAGGGCCTCTGGATGCTGGTCAAACGCACAATTCGCCAACGATTGGGGGCACCAGCCGCACGCTATTGGCGTCATATTTGGCAGAGTTTCACTGGCGCCACTCCCACAAACATCAGATTGTCGGCCAGTATTTCGAAATCCTACGTCAAAATTTTCACATCTAACCCTAACCCTACCCCTAACCCTAACCCTACCCCTAACCCTAACCCTACCCCTAACTCTAACCCAACAACCGCATGATGACTACACAACCATTCACGATGCCTCACGCAACCGTACGCAAACCCTGCACGCAACCATATGATGACCACGCATCCCTTCACGATGCCTCACGCAACCGTACGCAGCCCTACACGCAACCGTAGGATGATAGGTACGTAAGTGTGTCGTTTGTTTCGTTGTGGCTTTTCCGATCACTGTTTGGAATGCGGCCAAGGGAGAGAACTCTGACTAAGTCATCCAAGGCTTTTTATTCTTCGTCCGGATTTGCCAGTAGAGCCGGATAAACTGTGATTCCTCCATGCTTTCAGTTCCGGGGTCTAGCATCAGAGGCCCAAGAGATAATAGAATAAAGTATAGGACCTTTTTCCACGCCTTCAGGTATATTAAGCTAAACCTGTATTTTATAGACCACTCGGCACTTCTTGGGTAATGTGGTCAAAATTACACCAGTCACTTTTACTTCCCAGGACTGCAACTGGTACTAACTCAGAGCTGGGTCAACCTGGGTGCCAAGATAATTTTTGAAGAAAGCCCGGTTCTATCAGGACCCAAACCCATGACCTTATGATCCACAGGTGAGCGTCTAGCTGCTACACCACAGCAGCTAAGGGGTAGTAAAGAGATGGGTATAATTGATGCATCTTGCATTCACTGGGCTTCTGAGTAGGAACCTATAAACATCAGTGTTCTTTGGAACTGAAAGACCTAATGAAACTGTCATGCCTGCCTTTGTCCTAAGTTAAAATAACAGTAAGCCAGGTTATTGTACTTAAATATATGCGTTATCAGGCAAGACATAATTTGTTTCCTGGCTAGCAATATCAATGCATGAATGGGGCCAGAGAGACTGTATGGGGTGGTCAGAAAAAATGTTGGAAAGTTGTTCACATAGCACCATAACCTGGGAGCTCAGTTGTCTTGGAGTAGTTGTTCATATAGCAACATAACCTGGGAGCTCAGTTGTCTTGGAGTAGTTGTTCATATATTACCATAACCTGGGAGCTCAGTTGTCTTGGAGTAGTTGTTCATATATTACCATAACCTGGGAGCTCAGTTGTCTTGGAGTAGTTGTTCATATAGCAACATAACCTGGGAGCTCAGTTGCCTTGGAGTAGTTGTTCACATAGCACCATAACATGGGTAGCTCAGTTGTCTTGGAGTAGTTGTTACATAGCATCATAACATGGGTAGCTCAGTTGTCTTGGAGTAGTTGTTCACATAGCACCATAACATGGGTAGCTCAGTTGTCTTGGCGTAGTTGTTCACATAGCACCATAACCTGGGTAGCTCAGTTGTCTTGGAGTAGTTGTTCACATAGCACCATAACATGAGTAGCTCAGTTGTCTTGGAGTAGTTGTTCACATATCACCATAACATGGGTAGCTCAGTTGTCTTGGAGTAGTTGTTCACATAGCACCATAACCTAGGTAGCTCAGTTGTCTTGGAGTAGTTGTTCACATAGCATCATAACCTGGGTAGCTCAGTTGTCTTGGAGTAGTTGTTCACATAGCACCATAACCTTGGTAGCTCAGTTGTCTAAGTTGTCTTGGAGTAGTCATTTACATAGCACCATAACCTGGGTAGCTCAGTTGTCTTGGACTAGTTGTTCACATAGCACATTAACCTGGGAGCTCAGTTGCCTTGGAGTAGCTGTTCACATAGCACCATAACTTGGGTAGCTCATTTGCCTTGAAGTAAAGCCTATTACAGCATGTATGTTGAATGTTGAATTAAGAATCAACATCATAGCACTCGGGACACTCCCATAAACACTGCATCCTCAGCTTCATCAACAGGTGAAGAGTTCCATTTCCAATGGTACCAGTAACTGTCTGATTGTACATCTGTCTTGTCTTTCCATTGAGTGTTGAGTGTCGGCCAGATCCCCTGGTAACTCCCCGCAGAACCACTCTGTGTAGACTTTTAAGATCTATGCCTGCCTCCTCACTGCTCCCTCGCTGCAAAAGGAGCATGTATTTGCTGTCTTTGAAATCAAGACAGAAGACATTCTGACCAACTTCTCATGGGAACAATCAGTGGAGGTACCTTGGAGTGGCTACTACATCAGAGGACAAGCGCACATGGGAATGCTCAGTGTCAGTAACATCGATTGTGATAACATAACATGAATGATGAAGATGCAGAAAATTAAGTATACCCTAGACTTGAACATACATCCAGGCAAGGGAGCTAATGAAAGATTTAATAACTCATTGATAATTAGACTACTAAGCAAAACATTAGTTTGTTTATATCTTGTATGATAGAAATACAAAGTCTTCCCAAGCTGATTGAGGTGCTAGCAGTTACAACAGGATACATGGATATTCCACCTGATTACATACCAGAAAAATGTAAGTGTATGCTGTGTAAAAGTAGTAGATATATCCCTAACAATACTTGTTCTAATTAATATAGATGTGTGTTTTTGTGTGTGTGTTGTCCATATGTTGGCATCATCGTCATCATCATCATCAAGTGACTTACAGGCAGCCGTGGATGATCATGCTTTGCCACATCTTGTGGTCTCCAACAGCATGTATCATATCAAGTGTTGACACCCCTCCATGCCATTACAAAAGGCTGCCAAGAATCTTCTTTTATTGTATTTCTCCACCTCCCTTTCTATGAATTTTTCATATTATTACATCAGATTACAAGTTTTTCTTTTCTTGCTATGATCCAAATATGATAACTGCTTCTTTATATGATGTTTTTCATAAGTTATCTTCAGATCTATGCCATTTTCAAAACATCTGGTTTACTCCTTGGCTGTCCAAGGAATTTTAAGCATTATTCTATAAGACCACATCTCTGAGTCCTAAAAAAATATTTGTCCTTGTTTACTCTTTAGAAAAATTTTACAGCATAAAGATGGGTAGTGTTGTTGTTTGTGTTCACTGACTGGAAACCCCAGCGGACAGACCTGGTTGTTCATTCATTTCTGGACTTTGGCTTTGTTCCAGGACCTGAGTTTTGTTTTTGCATCTTTTTCACTGCTCTTGCTTATTTGTATGCAGGCTGTTGGTTCCTTGCCTCTCAGATAGATGCGCTTTGACTTTGAAGGAAGCCCCCAATTAGTCGACTCTTATGACATGCTTGTTGGGGAGTCAGTGTATCTGTTCTTGTTTTCCCCACAATGTGACACGGGAACCCATACGGGGAAAGATGGGTAGTGAAAAAGATGTGTACTGGCCCCTGATTTGTTTTCCTTGTACAGTGAATACCCTTAATGAGATCCTCAAAGGATATGCCAGGAATCATGATTCGTGGCCCCAATATAATTACTATACATTATGCTGGTGATACTGTGTTGATAGCAACATGTGAAAAAGAACTACAGAACTTTATAGATATTTCTTTTTTTTTCTCTACTCCTGGAATATCTCACCGGATCAGGGTAGGAAAAGACTTTTGGAACGAGCCTTTTGTTTGATTCAAATAAAGTACTTTTCATTGTTTCTGATATTTCTGTGCTCCATCTGCATGGTCAACCTCTGGCTATGTTACCACTGTATCTGTATAACATTGCTCTCTGTGGTGCCCTGTCTGATGGCAGTCTTGTTACATGGCCAAACCATTTTATTTGTTGTCTGTTTATAAAGTTCAGTATTGGTTCTGTGCCGACTCTCCTCCTGATATCATTGTTCCTAAGTTGATCTTTTCTCATTACACCTAGCATAGAACGTTAACATTTCATGCCTGTCGTGACTATTTTCCTTCTGTCTTTTGGAGACAGTGTCCATATTAGACATTGATAGCATAGCATTGGTAAGAATATTGTGTTGTACAGTGTTCTTTTAGTTTTCATATTCACATGCATGCATTTCAGAATTGGTGCTATTTGGCCTAAAACTTGATTGATACTGTGGTTGTAAAAAGTGAAGAATGATCTTGTGACATCCAATGACTCAAGGACTCACTATTTAGTGGGATTCCAACAGGAGCTAATCTCAGAACCTTTTCAACCATTTAACAAAGTTATTTTGGGGTATACAGTGGTTACAAAGTAATCTGTAATTTAATTTGGGTGCAACTATTTGTATTGATTGATTTTATAAAATGAAAAACATCTTATGAAATATATCCCATCTCTACTCGGGTTTGTGTCCGCAGAAAGAGAATGACTTCCCTTCCCATTCATGTATTATCATGCCGCATGACCTGTCCTGTGTTGTGGGGGTGTTATGAGATGGCTTTGTTTGGGGTTCGCTCGCCGTATATTATGTTTGTGGGAGGTTGTGTTTGCGTAGGCCTCTTTGAGGCGCCACAGGCGTCTGTGTACAAGTAAGAAGTACTGCAGGAACAATTGCTGCAGGTTCATAGGTATCGAAACTTGAATGTTTTTGTATTTCTATGTTCGTTGGAGGTGGCTTACCACCAGAGAAAGAAGCCTCTGACAGGGAACATAGGAATAGAAAAATATTGCAGTTTCCATACTCCCAAACTGTCGCGCAAGTAGCAAAGCGTGAAAATAATCACTCAAGGGAGCGGTGAGAACATGAGAAAAGAGATAACGGTTAAACCGTTGAAAATTAGAAATATTTGACACCCTACAACATAGGAGAGGACGTGCGAACCAGCGAGGTGTGAATGGAAAGGGAAGCCACTCTCTTTTTTTGGGGACGGAAAAATGAGTTGTATCTAAATCCCTTTCATGGGAAGTTAGAAAAAGAATTCTTGCAGCTGTATAGAACCATTTGTAATATTCTCGGAGATGTGATTTTACGTATTGGCAAATAAAGTTAATTCTCTAGGGTTAATTTCTTATGGTATTCTAAAGAAAACTATAAAGGTAGTATCATTTTTGCTGTTTATAAGTTTTAGCCATTTAGAAGCTAAAATTACTTGGTACAATTGTCTTCTCTCATTTGAGAAGATCAGATATAAGGTAACTGTGGACGTGAAAAAAAAAAACATGCAGAAGGAATCCAAGGATGTTTTTTTCTGCAATAGTAGTTTCCTGGTTAAGGGTGAAAAACCAAAACGAAAATATATTTTGTTGATATTAATCTCTCCACAGTTAGAATAGAAAATTAAATAGGCTTACACATTGAACATATTTAGAAATGAAAAGACATACATATAAAAAGAATATTTATATCATATGTATGTTTAGTACATACATATTTTGATGCTGTTTTAATGCTATAGAAAATGCACTTCTTGTTGATTTTGCCATGGTAGCGTTGGTATTAATATCACATCCACAGCCTTCTATCTTGTATACTTTCAGTCATTTCTGACACAGTTGATCTTCCATGCCATGATGTTAGACTGTTCAGCATCTTCTGTCTAGAACTTACACTGCTTCTCTTCCCCTCTAGCTTGGACACGGCTATGATTGTTTTGCAGTTTGTTCTTTCTCTCGAGGAATGTCGATTGTCTACTTCTGATGTGGGTAAATAGTTCTCTTTGTGAATTAATTTCTTTGAACAGGCGCCAGTAAGCTCTAGCTGCCAGATCTGTGTGAAGAGACTGGAGCACTTATTGAATATCTGTTTGTGTCTTAAAAGTGGTCCTTAAAAAACTAATCTAATATGGGAAGTCAACTGTGTAATTGGTATTATGTCTGTCTCTTCCAGCTAGTCAGAAGCGGCGCCCAAAGGCAGCTAAAGGCCAACAACATCAACAAAACTTCTACAATGATTTTGATATGCCAAATCAACAGTCACAGCAGTTTGCACCAAACTTTGGTCAACAAGATATGTTCTATGGGGGACAGGGTAAGCTTAGTTCATACAATTTTCTAACTCAGAATTGATGTTTACTAAACTTTCTCAGTTCAGATCCGCATCTAGAGAAATTTTTTTCAAAACTGACTTTGGCTTTCTGGTCAATCTAACCTTAAATTAGTACTAGGTATTTTCTTGGGAAGTCTTGACCTGACGTTGACCTCATCACCCAACAAGTACTGATTGTTCTATAAAACTATGAATCGAGCAAGCATTATATTCCCTGTGTGCCACTGACATACAAACGATCCTTTATATGACTATATGTATGATGTGTCAGAGGCATACAAAAAAATCCCTAATTTTGTTTTTAAATCACTGTTTTTTAACATTCTTAGTCCTCAGCAATGTGTAATTGGCCTTTCATCATGAAACCAAACAATCACAAAGTATGTTTTTGCATACCTTTGACCAAAACACTTTAAAGAAAGCTGGCGTTTTCAAGGAACAAGCAGGTGAACTTTATTTTAAAGGGCAAATGATTTGACAAATAGACCCACCTAACATTCTGCCCTTCTTGCCTTCATCTTTCATTTGTGATTTCCTTTCATATATTTGGGTGTCTATATGACTAAGTGGTTAAGAAATTTGCCTTATACTTTAAAGGTCATAGGGTTGCTTCATGGACTACGTCATTTGGTTCACATATGTAATCTTAACAGAAATCCACTGTGGTCATCGCAAGAGCTTTAGAGCCTGTGCTTTGTGCAGCACTTTCAGCAGGCAGCTAGCTGTTCTGTGGAGCGAGATCAAGCAAAACATGATAAAAATCAAGAACAGTGAAGTTAATCTTTTTAACAGGGTCTTCAACAATAACAATATATTAATAATATGTGAACAGATAAGCCTGGGTAAAAAAAGATAAGTGCTAAAAGAGGATGCAGACAATACCATTAGCCAGATTTGCCTGTTGGAACATGTCAGGCTCGGTGCTGAATGGATAGAAGATAGAAACATCAAAACAGTTGCAGGAGCACGTTAAGGTAATAATTACCCTGGGGTAATAATTACCCTGGATACTTTGAATCAGATACAGGTTATATCTTCAACTGTTGACCATTTAAATTTTTATAGAATTAGTCTCATTACTTAATTGTCGGACCTTGTATGTTTAAGTTTGTCTTAGTTGTGGGCATCCTTAGATGTTTATGTGGCCTACATGCTTAAGAAATCTGGCTATATTTTTTTTTTAAACACAACACAGTAATCTGGCTGTATTTTTTTTTTTTTTACACACACGACACAGTAATGAACTCACATGTTTTTTATTGTGTTTATTATCCCTTTTGGATATATAATAAGAATAGTTGAACAAGTGGAGAAGATGACATCTTTACATCCTGCTTTAAAAAATCTTGCTGTATATTTTTACTTAGCAACACATTATGTGTTTTGTATTTAATAGTGATATATGTTAATGCTTTGTTCATTGTGTGAATGTTTCTTTTCCCGACTATTATCAAACTGAGGGAATTAAGAACTGCACCAGAACAGCTCAGGTGTAAATATTTTGGTCTTAAATGCTTGTTTTGGCATACTTTTCTAAGGTTCTCAGGTTTTCAGCCCAGCAGGATATGGGGGACAGATGCCTAATTTCCAACAATTTCCTGGACAGCAGCTTTTAAGTGATCCTGTAACAAATATGGCCATGCAATATGGACAAGTTTTAGCAGGGCAGGGCAAAGATCTGGTCAACCAAAATGTAAGTAAACACCATTTGCATCATGTAGCATGTCCTTTGCAGAACATCATGGTCTGCCTCAAAGAAGCTCGGCCTCTTGCCAACTGTCTGCCTCATGCAGTTTCATATCCAGGGAGTCACTTATATCCTGTGACCATCTTCATTTTGGTCGGTCCCTGCCTTCATTCCTGGTACCATGCATTCCTGGTACCGTGCCTTCTGCTATTATTTTTTTTCTAGTCCGCTGTGGCCCTTGATATGGCCAAAATATTTAAGTTTCTGTATCAAGATGCTGTTTATTAGCTAATCTTATTTGATTTTTAAATATTTTAGAATGTCCGTGTTTGTAAGTAAACACGCAACAATTGTTATATTGTGCTATGGGAACACATGGGAATGAAGTTGCTCCTCTCCATAGCACTAAGCCTGGGCAGTATTGTAGAGACCATGTGTCAACTGTGCATCATGATCCATACCTTGACCTACCTTGTTTACTTCACAGGAAAGTTAACACTGCTACGTTTGGAACATCTTGCTACAGCAGTTGCTGGATCAGAAGAGCAGTGCTCTGTCCGCTTGTTAGAGCTTCTCTCCCAGACCAGCTGCCAGCCAAGGCTAAGAGCTTGCTCTGCCAGGCGATAACACTGAGTCTTCAGGTTGCTTTTCCTCTTCCTAGGATAATGCTAGTATCCTCCCCAAAACACTCCTCTGTCTGAAGCCTTTGGCACAATGTGGGATGTCGGGTTTGGTATACACTGCCTAACATTTGGCATTAACAGAAGACATGTAGTACTGACTACTGTTATATGGTAACTCAGTCATATCTGACCAAGACCCCACCACTGTGAAATGCTGTTTTATAATTCTTGGAGATAGTGAATACCTCCCCAGCTTCATAGGACTGGTGCAGTAGAACAGACAGAGTCCATACTTTGAAAGATCTCTTAACCCTACAAGACCTGAAGCTCTGAACCTAACTGCCCCCTATACCTGAGCTCCTGGGAATTAACACGAAAAAACCAACATGATATACAAAAATATTAGTTACATGCAAACAAGTGGCTAGAATAAGATTAAACTTGGAGACATTGTAGAAAATTGTCAGTATTCCACCTTTGTATGCCAACCCACCCACCAGGATCAGCCTTGTTTTACAAAGTGAGCACCAGATGTTGCTGTTTGAGGGACACGCCCCCTTCTCTTACTATCGATTTAGTTTTAAATCTATAATTTTCAAGATTCTCCTCATCATTCAAGCTCTCACTGATGGTGTCACTTTAATTGGGATTGTATTCTTCATGAAATTCTGACTTCTCAGAGTCTGAAACAACCAAAGTATCGATCACCTGTTGGACTGTGAAAAGCCTAGACCTACTTCACTTTCCTGTCGAAGGGCTTGGTTCATCGGCCGCTTGTTTCATTGTGAATTTTCAGCACTATTTGTCACGTTAAACCACACAAAGTAAATGCAAACACACATGGGCAGCTATTCGCAATGACTAACCTTGAGATTTGATCACGATTGGTTGGTAATTTTTAGTTTGTGACACGTTTTATCACGTAGTACGAAAAGTACAGAAAATTAGGTACAGCGGTTTTGGGGCAGATTAGGATGTTACCGGAAAAGCGGTACAGCGGTCTGGTAGAATTAAATTCCAGTGGAGGTGAGTAGAGTTTCTGGAAGATATTCAACACTTAGGGGGAAACATTGCTGAATTTTAATCAGGTTACAACAGGTACTATTAGTATGTTGACTCTTCATTGGCTACTGAAGAACAGGACAGAGCGCATGTGGGACTGGCCCGATTGCAGTGATGTCAATGTCAATTCTTGATTCATTAATTCATTTACTATGATAGTGCAAAATTCATCAGAACAAATGTTACTGTTTATTTTAGCATACCACAAAATGTCAGTGATTTATGCTCTCATACATTTGTCAACAGATACAGCAATATGTGGCTTCATCAAAGTTGAAGAACTACTTTGCAGTGGATACCATTTATGTTGGAAAAAAGTTAGGCATTCTGTTATTCCCATTCACTCATACAGTAGGTTCCAGTTTATATATCAGTGTGTAGGTGTTATGCATAAAAATGAAGGTGTGTTTGTATTAGTGGATGCTCGAATAATCATATGTGTATGACTGCAGATTTACTTGTCTGTATGTGTGCATGTATGCTCAGATATATTCATATGGTTGGGCAGACATGCTTGTATGTGTGCATGTGCCGATGTATTTGTTCGTATGAGTGTGCGAATATGCTTTTATATGTGCATGTATTCACAGCAGCCCCGTCTGCATACATGCTTATGTATGTGTGCTTGTCCCCTTCTTTCCTGCCCTCTGACTTTCTCTCTGATTGTTTGCCTCTTTCAATCCTCCCTCTGTCTCCCCTTTCCATTCTTTCTCACTCTGCCTCTCTGTCCCCCCTCCCTCCACTCTGTGTCCATAATTTATCCTTGTCCATTGGTGTCTCCTTCCTTCAATCTGCATTTTTGTGTCTCTTTCTCTCCAGCACCACTGTCTCTACTCGTCTTTCCCTTATACTCCTCTGTCTGTCTACCTCCCTCCTTTCTCTCTCTCTGCATTTCCGTTCCCTCTCTCTATCTCTGTCCTTAACTTTTTTCCTGTGTCTTTGTCAGTCTCTTTCTGTATCCATATGTCTGTTCTAGAGCAGACAGCATATTATATTTTTGACTCTCCCATGTCACTCCCTCATCTGATATTTTGAGGTATGTGATTTTACTCACCTGTTTAGGCTTATACATACATCTTTGTCTTTTTTTATCTGCCTTTCTTATCTAGTATTTTCTCCTTTTAGTGTATGTGTTTGCATGGGTGTTTGGGGATGAGTGTTTTGGCGAGTGGTTTGGGTGAGTGGATGGGTCCTTTACTGTTGCATAGATTACATGGTCTTTTCCTGGTGTCACCATTCAGATTAGAATCACCTGTAGAGAGGTCCCAGAATCCCTGTTAAACCTATAGGTTGAGTTTTATTAGGGCCCCTGGCAACAAACAGGGTGGGGCTTCACAATAACGACAAATTCGTCCCACATAGGGACGGAAAATATAGTAATTTATTGATCATTTTGGTAATTAAAGCTCTCAATTTTTCAGTGTTTGTTTCTTCTATGTAGGATTGATGAGGCGTAGCGGCTTTGTGCTCGCGTGCAGATCAGAAGGTCATGGGTTCGCTCCCTTGCGGAACCGGACTTTTTATAAAAATGACCTTGACGCCCAGGTTGACCCAGCCTTCAGTGGGTACCGGGTGCAGTCCTCGGAAGTAAAGGCAGCCGGTGTAATGCTGACTACATCACCCATCTTGTGATGATTGGTCTATAAAAATATAGGTTTAGCTCTATATGCCCTATACGCCTAAAGGCGTGGAAAAGGGACCTTAATTTACCTTAACTCATATCTTCTATGTGCACCATATTCTCAGAATTGTTGTCAGTTCTTGTCTCTCTAGAAATCAGAAAGAGCCTATGTATAGCATATCTCACTGGTTTGATTGTTTGCCTTTACCATATATGTAAAGCAGATTGGAATTTTATTATCTTTGAAACTACCAAACCTTCAGTTTTGCTAATGTTAATAATGATCATCCATCCCATCAGTTAGCTCCCTTATGCCATAAAGTCTATAAAAGCTGTAAAAACACTATGAGCATGTGGGCACACAAATAATGGACCACATATACCTAGTATACCCCTGGACAAATCCAAAATGCTTTTAAAAACCCTTGAAACAAGTTGGTGAATTTGGTTACAAGCCTTTAAAAAAAAATTTTTACTTGGTGCAGATTAGATCATAAGACATTTGGGCCAGCATGCAAACTACCGTGCTACGGCAGCTCCTGTGTCAACCCATACTGTTTTCTTCCTTTGTCTCTAGTACCCACAACTATCCTGGTTGTCACTAGCTTCTCCAGTCTTTTTTTTATCTCCTAACATGAAACAAAATAAAAGATGATTATCTTGTCCCATCTTTACGAAGTAGCTTCTTGCAGTATTTGGATATTAATCTCTTTAGTTGTTCTTAGATCATTAATGATAAATGAAATACATATACATATTTTGCAGCTGAACCGAGTGCATACAGTAACCTTAAGATATATTAGTTAGTCATAAATTGATATTTATGATAATGCAGGACTGGTCCGTACACCATAGCCAAGATGAGCCTGTGGCACCAAGATATGAAATCAATGCACCAGACTTGTATATACCTAGTGAGTATTGCACTTTTTTCCAAGTTCCTAATTTATAAGTAAAAGAAATAAGGTAAAGGCCCTTTTCCACACCTTTAGGCAAATAGGGCTAGACCTATATTTTCAAGACCAATCGGCACAAGATGGGTGATGTGGTCACCATCACGGGACTGCACCCGGTACCCACTCAAGGCTGAGTTGACCTGGGAGTCAAGGTCATTTTTGAAAAAAGTCTGGCTCCGCCAGGGAGCGAACCCACAACCTTCCGATCTGCACGCAAGCGTCTAGCTGCTATGCCATGGTGACTCCCTTATAATTTATAAACATGGCAAAAATCCAAAAATGGTTTTTGTTGTTAAATAATATGAACACCTTTGCCTCCTTAGGTTAGGGCTGGTTGCTTGCTTGCTGGTTAACCATAGATTAAAGGGTAGGAATCTGGATCGAGGCAAACATTGTAAAAGTCAACTTGGCCTTGCAGGGGACACAGCCAGAAAAAGTCCTGGGAAGTAAAGGTAGCTGGCATGATGTTGGTCACATCAGCCATTGAGTTTTTGTTGGTCTTTACAACATGAGCCTAGAACCAAACCATATTGCCAATGCTGTCAGTGAAGACATCATCATTATCATGTGCCCTGCTAGTTGGCGTAGGTGCCCATGCGTTTCCACAGATCACGATCCCTGGTTGCCTGGAACAGCTCTCTTGATGATATCCCTGCATGCCATTCTTTCAGCCATCCAGCATCGTCTCTTGGTCTGCCTCTACTCCTCTTCCTACTTATCTTTCCAGTTGTCACAATGTTTTCCAATGCCTCTCTTCTCATTACCTGGCCAAAGAACAGTGTTTGTCTCCTTCAGTGAATACAGAGTAGTATACTATCATAAACTTTGTTTCAGTGATGGCTTTTGTCACCTATCTTCTCGTGGCTGGAATGGTTCTAGGAACTCAAGGCAGGTGAGTGTTAAACAAACAACAAAATAAAAATTAATCGTCTGGTTTTACACAAAACTAAGAATACTGGTAAATTCTTTTTATTTCTACCTCACCTTTCTAAAAAAAAAAACTCATTGACAGTTCTTGCATAGATAACAAGCACATTTATTATGGAGAGGCATTTCATTGTTTGGAAGATATTGCATTTTGGTTTGTTTGTGTGTTGTTCAACCCCATGTGTACAACGAGCAACCGACGCCCAGGGATACAAAGTGCCACCATTTGGATGAGGAGCACACGGGCACAAGTCCCAGAAACCTCGTATAAGCCTTTAGGTTGGGTATATTAGGGATCCTAGCAACAGACAGAGTGGGGCTTAAAGTAACGAAAAATTGGGTCCCATATTAGGACAGTGGTTTATGCATTTTCTGTGATTTGTGATCTTTGATAATGCTGGCAACTTGGCAAGAAAAATACACGACGTATGGTTGTCATGTTGTTTGTATACTCCATCTTTTTTATTTTTAAATATTTTATTCCTTGCCACTGTTTGAGAGAATGATTGGATCATCTTCCTTAAATTGCTTTCTTGACCTTTCTGTATGATGGAAATTTGATAAATTAGAAATGGTAATTAATGTTTTTTGAACAAAGAAGACACAAATAATAGATTGCACGATTTATTGCCTGGCATATTTCACTGTATCTTGTCAGGTAACAGTTAAATAAAATGAAGCAAAGAAGTGAATCCTTTATAACTGAAGTGCAATTTTAAACACTCTAAAAAGCAGCTGTCTCTTTTACCAGGGCAATCCCAGTGTCACTATCATGTCTTTCTGTTTACATATTTCTGGACAGAGGTAACAAATAGTGGTTAATGTTATTCTGTACAGAGCATATATGTTTAATACAAATTTGCAGATTGTCAGAAACTGAAACTGTTATAACTGTCCTTTGCCAAGGCTAGTCCTGTTTCAACCCCAGGAATGGCAGACACATTTTTTTTTTCCCACAATGACAGCTCTGAGGTTGAACTGTCCCCATAAATTGGACACCATAAATGTTTCTGGAAAAAAAATAGTGTTTCCAGCATAATATTAATTATGCAACCTCTGTGTGCTGTTCAAGAAGTTTGAAGTTTGAACGGATCAAAATCATTGCACACGGGTAGTAACCTATAAGTGCTCTGTTCTTTCTTCTAACTCAAGTCTGAGTCCGAAGAAGCTCATCACAGTGCACAGGCCCTGTAGCACAGGCAAGGATCCTGAATTTAGGTAGATTCATAACTCCAAATTTTGCCCGGGCAGTGCCGTTAGGCTACTCTTTTTGATTTCCAACTGCCAAGGGATTTTTTTACGTGCGCAACAATGCACACAGGTGTCCGATCTCACTATCCAAAGACCAGGGGAAATACTATAAGTCCAAGTCCGTGTGAAAAAATCCCAGCCCTTACCAGGGATTGAACCCGAAACCTCTAGCACTAGAGGCGGATACCATGCCTCAAGACCATGCAGCCTCCTTTGCTGTTCACAAAAGTTAAGTTGTAAATTCTTCATACGACTTTGCAAATCAGTCCAAGCATTAATAGGCTGTTTGTAGATTTTCTAATCAGTGTTACATTTATTAGTTCTTCTTTCATCTACTTATGGAATGCCTCATGGTATCAGGGCAAAAAGAGATCTGTGGAACAGGCTTTTCTGTTTGCTCTATTTAAAGTTCTTTTCAGTGTCTCTGTTTCTGAGGTCCATCTTCTGTGTGGTCAACCCCTGGCTCCGTTACCATTGTATCCGTATAGCACTCTGTGATGCCCTGTCTGATGTCAGCTTGTTACTTTGCCACCAAATGGTTGAAAGACAATCCTACTGTTGTCGGAATCAATGCAGAGTGGTCTGCTTCCAGATCGGCTGGGACTTAATGAATCAGGTATTTTGAAGTTGAGAACAGTATATAGAATCCATAAGCCACAGATGCTACCCAATAAAACATTGGCAGGCAAATGGTCTTTTATTTCGGTGTAATATTTCCCCAGATTTACTCCTGAGCAGCTTGGAGTTCAAGCCAGTTCCGCACTTGTTTGGTTGATTGTTGAACTGTTAGCCTTTTCATTGAGTCTGTATATCTTGAACCTCACCACCAGTCTCAGATACCTGGACATCATATCATATTGTGGTTATAAGTTTGTGGGGTAAGACTGATGTTTTCTCTGATAATGTAGATAATCCTTTTGCTTTTTGTATGTGTTACTGCATGTTCATGTAATGCTGTAGATTAGTGCTTTTGTACCCGAAAGAAGTTTGATGTTTTGGTTGAAAGGTACAAATATTATAACCCCTATGTAAACAGGCATAATAAAATTAGATTGAAAACAAAAAGCATTGGTTGAATAAAAAGGAAGAAAGTTAATCCACCCATTGTTTAACTATTTCGCCTTGGGAAGCAGAAAGCCCGGCTCTTCAGGTAGAATCCAGTTCACCCTAAAAGCTTTTTTAACGACTACAATGACGTGTTTACAAGATGCACTGTTAACATAATTGGCTATTATTGTGCCTGATCCTTGGACGTATACCAAACAAGTTTTCCTATAAGAAATAAAGGGAGATTGATTAATCCATTCCCATTCAATAAATACTATTTGAAAATGTGACATTTTTCATTCCAGACAATGCTGATATGGCTTGTTTAGGCTTTGTTGGGGTGGTATTTCTCTGCACAGTCATTGCTTTGTCTCCAGAGAGGTAAACAAGAATAGTGCATGTAATCACTGTTAATTTTGATTCATACAAGTTCAAGCAAGCAGGTTCTATTCCAAATAAAGATTACATACCAAGTAAAATTTGTCCCATTTAAATACCAAGTTGAACATATTCCAAAGTGATCGTATACTTAGGTACCAATTTGTATGAATATATAATTAAAAATCACTTATTCTACTTTACCCATTCAATACACTGCTCTTAAATGGTAAAATGTAATGGTCAAATGAAAATGTACAGTTAAAATCTAGTGGCCATAAATGGTAAAATATGGTGGCTGTATGGTAAAATCTAGAGGCTGTAAATAGTAAAACATGTAATGAATTTATCTCTGCAGAATGACCATCAGTCTGCTCGCTGGAGTTGCCATGAGCACATCAGTTTATTATGGCGTATTAGCTTGGTTCTGCATCACACTTGCTTTTTTTCTTGTAAGTATTCTTATTTTGTGTGCATAATAATCATATTCAATTATCTGCAATATATTGTACATCAAATAAGAGTGATAATACAAAAAATGTGATAGATAAGTTTATTTCAACCTTTATGTGGGTATTACAGATATGTTTGTCATGAAGATGTACAGCATTAAAAATAGGACTACAAATAATTTATGAGAAGACAAATATATTAAAGATACCAGCAACAGATCATGGAGATGTCATGGTAGAGAACAAACAAATAAAAGTAACGAACTGTTTCACCTATTTGGGTAGCAGTTTTGACTTTCAAAGAGATGAATTGAAGGAAATAACAATATGCAGTGGCACAGCAACAAAGGTCTTTAAAAACCTTAACAAAATATGGAGCTTTTAGTTTTACTGCTTTAAGGTTAGTTGCATATCCTTTACAGGACGTTGCAGAACCAACCCCAGCAGACCCTGGCTGTTGTGTGGTTTCTCTAGGCAAATTTACGTCCAGTAGTTTGCCATTACTTCTGGACGGTCGGCTTCTTGATACCACTGTGGAAATCAACATAAGGCGCATGGCACGCAGCTTGGATCGAACCCGGCACCCTGGCATTACGAAACGTTCGCATCGACTTAGCCACAGAGCGGACACTGCTTTAAGAGCAAGCTACAGATCCTTAATTTCATTTCCAACATTTTTTAAGTTGTAACATATGCCAGCAAAATTTTAAGAACTACCAAAGATATGGAACTAAAGCTATATGCATTTGAAAATAAGTGAGATGTATCATGAACATAAAAGGGGATGAATTTAAAACAAGTGAGGAGGGCAGAGAAATGTCTGGAAAAATACCTGTATCGACTGTAATAAGGCAAAGAAGGTGGAGAGATATTGGGCACATTGAGATAAAATGAGCAAAGAATTACAAAATGTGTATGTGCTAGCACGCACGTGCGTGCGTGTGGGGGTGTGGGTGGTTTTTCCTCTCTTATAAAAAATAGCCATGATGACATTATAATTTTTCTTCACCTTCACATAGTAGGCGAAAAGCAATGAGGTCAAGCATGAGTCATCTTATGAATTTTTTAGGCCGAAGGGAGTGAATATAAAATAAGTCTCAGCTGCATTCAGATTTATTAATTATTCCACTGTGAATTTGTAAAATAAATTTAAAACAAAAACATTTGAGTCAATAAAGATTTTAAAATGTATTAACCTGTCTAAAATGGTTGTTGTTAGAAGGATTTTGTTTTCTTTTTTGAAAATTTCCGGGATCATAGAATTATTCCTCCCAAGGTTTCTCGGGTAAAATGCTTTAGCTGCCGTAGAATTTGTGTGTGTGTGTGCACAACTTGCATACGGGAACCCATTAGTCCATGAAGATGTATGTTTACTGTCATTGACCTGAGAAAACAAGGGGACGTTAGAAAACCCAAAAGTTTTGCAGAAATATAGAGCTCTGATCTGGAATTTGGACCTGGTAACTTTACAGATCAGGGTGGACATAACTTCTCAACCACACCACTCTATTTCTTATTATCTCTATGTCATCATCACAGTGAATTATAAAATCTTATTTATAATGTTTTTTGGCTATTTCTCACACTGAACAAGACAGCATAGCAATAGTACATTTATTTCACAAGGCATAGTCTGGTTTAAGTCATCAGTAGTATCAGGATTTTGTTGGGATAAATATGGCTCTGAGGTCAATCGAACTTTGTAAAGTAGGCAACAAATGTTCTGAATTTTTGAGAATTATATTGGAAGAAAAAGCAGTAAAGAAGGGAACTGAGCACATCACACCATTCCTGTCTAGTATTTGTGAAGAGGGGATCAGGCAAGGAGGGGTGTATGAGAGAAAGAGAGCGACATGTATATAAAGGTGTGCTCTGTGAAAAGTTAGCATCTACACCTTAAGATATTTACTGGACACAGCACACTTCTGTCTACTTCTTGTGAAGAGTGGATTAGGCAAGGAGAGGTATGAGAGGAAGAGAGCGACGAGTATAATTAGTGTACTCTGGGAACAGTTAGCATCTACACCTTTAGATATTGACTGCAGGAGATGGAGCACCTATGAGTATGCCTGGTGTGCTGTGATGTAGATTCTTAAATCAGTAAATTCAGCAGGACAAATCTGGGATACATCATGATGACAAGAAAGTGTTATGGAAAGAGAGGTAATCGGAGACCAAGAGAGAAAGTGGTCAGGTTAACATCATGTCATAGAAGAGCATCTGAATCAGAAATTATTGAGTGGCGCGGTGATTTCGGTCACAGGCATGAGGGGAAGTTAAGTCTGATGTGATGTGTATAAGGAGATATTCCGTACCCCACTCGGGCGCCAGTCCTTCACTGTTCTGGTTTTACGGAACCTCATGCAAGACTCCTGTTGCACGTCCCCGTCGTGCGCCACGGATAATGTCTCAAATGAGCATTAACAGAGTTGGCAGGGGATCTCGGAGCTGGCGGCCCCTAGAGGTGTAGAGTCCTTTCTGGCTCTCACCAGCCCGCCCCCAAACGCATGGGTAAAAAGTAACAAAACTCAAGGACTGCTTGCTAAATGTACCATCAAATGACAACTCTTGGTTAAAATTCGGGAGCGAATGGAAAACTGTGCTGCTGAGACTCAACCCTGACCGAGAGATTTACCCGCAGCCAAGACGAGTAACATCTCTTGTGGGCGACTTCTCGCAGCAAGATCCCACCTACGTACATCCTCTGTCAATCCTCAGTGTCGTCGTCACCGCGCTGAGGTACACCATGGCAGCGACTATTCATATGCTGGCTTGAAAAAAATGTCCGACAAAGTTACACCCCACGGCACACATGCAAGCTCAAAGTCCGACGATCATAACTCGTACCAATTAGGAAAAGTCTGAATGTCCGTATCCACTGGTCCAACTCGCCCGAGTGTTGGGACCAAACAGGTGAAGCCACGCCTGACGCATTTTGCTTCCCCATTCTGTCGTGCTAAGGGCACAGCTGAAACAACGTTAAAGGTGTCTAACGTAAGATGAAAAAGAATGTACCTATTTGTGTGGCCACAAACGTCCTAGACCTGCGGGCTGCTCCCCGCTGATCTCCGGAGAGCGCAGCCTTGTAGCGCGGGAAGCTCAATACACGGTTGTGAGGTTAAGCAGTCATGGGCAGGACGTGATGATTCCTTGGGTGAGCCCAGAACCAGAGCATCATGTGTCGGCTCTGCATCTATGGAAGCCTCCTTGGATGGCGGGGAATGCCCATGATCTGCCCCTGCCTTCCCTTGAGGGCTGAAAACTCTACATAGAGCTGCCTTAAGGACGACATGCCTGGGGCCACACCTGTTAAAAGTCAAAGAGGACACCACACAAATAAGGCAACATCTCGACCCACACAAAACAATGGCCACAGTCAACCTAGAAAAAGGCTTGACGTCTTCCTCCGAAGTCGGAGTACATCTGCCGGAGAGGCGGGGAACGAGTACTGCAAACAAATAAGCCAGTAAAACGGATGTACACGCAAAGCTCAGGTCAAGGTAAAAGCCAAAAGTCCATTTTGGACGAACAACCGTGACTTACCGCCGGAATTCACAGCCGGTGAACAAGAAGAAGAAGAAGAAGAAGAAATTATTGAACATGAGACAGATGGCTGTGGATAGGCATGATTACCATTGCTGTTTAGTCTGGTCTGTAAGAACAGTTCTTACTCTTATACTTGCCAAGGAATTACCTTTTATGTATCACACCCTTTCTATCCGCCATGAAATTACCCTTGCATACCACCCCTTACTATCTTCCCTAAAATTACCTTTGTGTGTCACAACCTTACTGAATTACCTTTGTGTATCACACCTTTTCTATCTGCCATGAAATTATGTTTGTGTATCACACACACCCTTACTGTCTTCCAAGAAATTAGCTTTGTGTGTCACACACACCCTCACTATCTTGCAAGAAATTAGATTTGTGTGTCACACACACCCTTACTGTCTTCCAAGAAATTAGCTTTGTGTGTCACACACACCCTTACTGAGTTACTTTTGTGTATCACACCCTTTCTATCTGCCTTGAAATTTTACCTTTGCATTTATATTTTCCCTTGCACAGATTCGCACCATGAAGGTTCAAGTCACGCCTCAGCAGAGAGAAGATGGCTACAGCAAGGGAGCAAAGAGAAGCTTGTACTTTGTTTTGGCTGTATCTCTGGCACAGCCGTTACTCATGTGGTGGCTGACTAGTTATATCATGCTTTCTTAATAAACATGTTCTGAAATGATCTGTAGAACTTTGATATTGCTTTCAAGATCTTCTTCTTTCTCTTCTTCATTCTCCCAGAAAAGGGCAGTTGGCATATTGTGTTGTGGTTTACAGCAATATCTGTGACTTTCAACCCGACGTACCCGATTTCAGAAAGTCCTTGATTAGACACCTTTTATAACATGCTTGTTATGAGGCAGTGGATTCATCCCTCCCCTTCCCCCCTACAAAATGAGACCCAGCACGCACACAAGGAGCTTATAAGATCTGAGATGCAGCCATACAAAACAAGCTTTTTTCCTGTAAAGTATGATTTCATGTCAGACAGACAATCTTTGAATTATCTTTACAAACCTGTAAGCATTATAGCAACCCAGTACACCCTGAATATTATTATTTAAGTTCCAGAAAGTTTCACACAAAATATCTTCTTTTTTTTAAATTTTATTTAGAAAATCCTAATTAAGCAGCTTACTGAACTCCATTTGTGCTGCATATGGAAGTCATCACTTGGGTATCCAGATTTCTGTTGTGCTGTGTGACCAATAATAAATTGAAAACACAAAATTACAAAGATGCCTGAATCCATATTTGGAGTATGTTAAGAAGAGCTAGTCATGCCTCACATGTTTCCTGAGACTGAAAGAAAACATATTGAACATATACATATCTATACTGACAGTCTGTTCCACTGTAAATTTTAAGACATTTAGTTTAAAAGTTTTTTTTTTTTTTTTTTAAATCTTGTACTATCCATAGTCAAACTACTGCTCATAAAAATTACCATGTAAAACTACAAACAGCAAACAAATGCAGGAGTTGCTTTGTGAAGCCTTGTAAAGTATATGAAATGATATGATATATCTCTTTTTTCTTTCTCTAGCAAATTTTCCAGTCCTATGCACTTTTAAGCTTTTGAGCTGTAATGTTATAGAAAGATTCTCAGAGTATCTTGGACAAAGATCTGAACATAAGGAAGATTGGCTAATAAACAGCATCTTGTCTTGGAAGCTGAAATATTTAGGTCATATGAAGCGCCACAAGGGATTGGAAAAAATTATAGCAGAAGGCATTGTACTGGGAAGGAGGGGCAGGGGCCAACCGACACAAAGATGGGCACAGGATATAGGTGGCTCCTTGAGTATGAAAGTACATGAGGCGGGAGAACTGGCGAGAGACCGAGTTTCTTTCAGGCAGACCGTAATGAGAGCGACATTCTGCAAAGGACCTGGTACATGATGATGATGCACTTTTCTAGCCAGCGCATCTTCAGTGTCTTGTATCTACCCCCAGGAATGTTTTCCTCTGCCCTGTTTTGCAGAAACTGCACCTTCATCACCCTTCTCTTCAGGTCACGGTGATAATATATGATGAATTATATGTATGCCCCCAGTACAGGAAAAATGAGAAAATCACTCTCTAAGTAGAAAAGGTATTATTATAATTTCTCTTTCTTGTATTGTTGGCGTCTGTGGCTTAGGCGTTTAGAACGAGCTCCGTAATACCAAGGTGCTGTGTTCGATCCCAGCTGCGCGCCTTGCTTTGGTTTCGACAGTGGTATCGAGAAGCCTACTGTCCAGAAAGCAATGGAAAACTACAGAACGTAAATTTGCCTAGAAAAACCACAACAGCCAGCCATAAAATGCTGGGGTTGAATCTGCAATGTCCTGTAAATGATACACAACTAATTAACTTTATTGTATTATGTTATTGCCCCATGTCAGACAGGCCTGCGTGCCCAATTTGTAACCCTTTGAAAATAAAGTTTGTTTGTTTGTTCGTTCATTATTGTTCGTTATTGTATTTTGTTTCTTTAGTTATTTGCTGACGAGGGCTTTTCACTGTAACATAATTTGTTTGTTGATTTTAACTGTATTCTGTAAGTTGTTAAACTCGTTTCCCAAATTTTTTTTTTATACTTCATGGTTTTATTGCAATTCTGTCAGTTTCATATGTATATACTATCCGTTGAACATGAAAAAGAGGCAGTAAAACCATGTTGTAGTGGGTTTAAAAAAGATTTCTTTGGGCTTAATAGACCAAAATTTAACATGAGGAAGTGAATCTTGGACAATTAGTTAACAGGCCAGATAATTTCTAGAGGCCTCAGAGATGTAGTTCAACAGAAAAATCCTTACAACTCTTAGGACAGCCACAATTTATAATCCAGATACGTTCAAAGAGGCCAGGGCCCAAAGACAACTGTTCACGAACATCAGAAAGAGATAGTCATTATGAGAAGTAAGAAACTGGAGTGTATTGTTTCATAATTTGTTTTCTTATATTATGAGAAGAAAGAAACTGGAATGTATTGTGACCACTGGAATGATTTATGGAAAGAGAGATAAGAGACAGACAGCATGAGGAGATTCTGATTAGCCTTTTTTCATGGCAGGAAGGAGTAACAGCACAGTTACCTTCATATTCCTCCTAGGGTATGCAAGCGTTGTTGGTAATGAAAGAGATGATAGACTGACAGGTGCTGCATTAATTAAAGATGGCCGGCCCTTGGATCACGCAGACATTGTCATTGCCCTTAGATGGATATGTTGAAAAAAAATCTGAGCGCCTATGGATGTGTCCAGAGTGCTATAAAGATAATCTAACTCATAACTGCACATAAATTTGTACATTCTGTTGGAGACTATAAGTTGTGGAGAGTCATGATCTCCTGCACTTGATGATGATGATGATAATACTATTTATACTGGAGGATATCTTTTATGCATTTATATTTATAAAATGTAGGACAAAATCAGAAAATTTAATCATTAAAAAAAAAAGTGCTGGTATTGATTGATTATTATTGTTACCATTGTGTGTCATACTGGGTATGTTCATCTCAAATGATCATGCTCATCTACAAACATCTATTTTGTGCATTCTTGACAAGTTCGACTGATGTTTGTGTTTCCTGCCACTATGCCAACCAAATCAGCATTTTCTCCTGTTGGTTTCTATCTCTTTGTTTTCTCCGGTGTAATTTGAAAAATTCATTGCGTGGATATGTACATGGATTTCAGCAATGCTTTAGTATAGAACTGCATATTAATACATTTTTCACACAGTTGTTTGATTATCTGTTTGTTTGTGTGATGAGCTTGTTTTGTGTATCTTTTGTTGGAAAGAGGCTTCAGTTAATCACTTAATCACCATTCTAACATCTTGGCAAACCGGTTACCCCCTAGCTGTTTTGTTCCTCTGCCAGCTACAACCATGTGGATGCCCATCACCGTCCTTTGTGAAAAAAAATTTAAACAGACTGCAGTCTCAGTAAAGCCAGCCCAGTAGTATACACACACATTAAATGCATAAGGCAGCCATCAGATGTATGAGCGCAGTCTGCAGTTGATCATTGATGGAAGTAACAGTAACAACAAACTAGCAGTTGTACATGCACTTAATTGCATAAGGCACCACCAATTTGTTAAAGCTCACAGTGTTATACCATGTACTCAGCTCAATAGCTGGGCAACAGAACTATGTACTTTAAGACCACATCAGGGGGGGAAATGCAAAAGGTAACTTCGGCTGAAAGCAAATAACTTGCCAAATTTAAACAGCCAGCATGACGGTCTGCCATATTTGACCAGAAATTTGTAACGAGACTAGGAACAAAGAAAACAGTACACAAAAGTAAGAAAGAAGCAGTCATCATGTTTTTTGGTCAAATCTGAGAAAAATTGGAATAGGTAGTAAATGGCTGGAAATATTTGTGGAAGGTAGTGAACAATTCTTGACAGCTTTTTATCATGACTTGGAAAAACTAATCTCACAAACTGATACAGCCTGTTGGAGATCACAAGATGTGGAGTAAAACGACCCCCATGCCATTCAGTAATACAAATGATGATTATATAGATAAAATCATCATCAGACGGTTTTCTTTATGTGTGTGTATTTGCATACATGCTTGAGATAGAGAGAGAGAGAGTAAATTGTGTTTTTTCTCCATTTTTACATGAAAATATGCTTTAAGTATACTGCCAGTATGTACAGCTGCATGCCTTTTCTATAGGTTGTTAACCCCTGTGCTCTGTAAATATCTTTAAATTAAAAAACCTGTTTAAAATATTGCTTAAAAATTGTAATTCTATGAAACGCTGTCCTAAGAAACTAAAGAAAGAAAAGAAGAAGCAGAAGAAATTTAGTCTTGGACAGTTTTTATAAATATCCAGGTGTCGAACCCTTGGACCACTGAGCAAACGGTCAAGTGTGAAGTCCACAGCTATATTGTGTAGATTTACACTGCCCAAAGCTGTTATACAGGCCTAGCGACCACTGCCCAAAGCTGTTATACAGGCATAGAACCCACTGCCCAAAGACTTCATATCATGGAAAACAGTAAATGTCAGAAAAACAGTTTTCACAGGGTGACAGAATAAAAAACATATACCAGACGGTGCTATTTTATTCTGATGCTTTCTGATATACAGTTCAAATTGTTCTTGTTGTTCACTGAATATTTTATACCCATGACACATTTTTGTATGTGTGTATGAGGAAAGGGGAGTGATTATAACTTCTTCTTTTGTGTGTAATGTTATTTCTTTGTTGTCGATATTTTAAAAAGCAACAAGAAGTTTTAATTTAGTGAAAGTGCACTTCAGATGCTAAGGATCGCTACTGCTCCTTGGCAAAGCAAACATAAATATAGTATGAAATGTGGAAAGAACTCAGAGCATGTTTAACTTTTTATCAGGACATGCTGTTTGATATTTGGTATAATATTTATAAATAAGAGATGTGAAAACTATTGGCATTGAGCATTACTTTGGTAGACATTATTGTAAAGGGGCAACAGG